AACGGAATGGGGACGACGCATAACATCTTATCAAGCAACAAACGAATGGTTGGCACTTCCGCCTGAGTTGAAAAGGCCTATGCCACCATTAAATTTTAAAAGACACAAATAATTATTGTTTAAATTACCCTAGAAACCTTAGCATATTCTTAATCTTTTCTTCTTAAAATTACCTTATAAACCTTAGCATATTCTTAATTTTAGTATTTTAATCTTAGTGCTTTTATATGCTTCTCTACATCTACATATACAAATTATTATTATTATTATTATTATTATTATTATTTTATCTAATCTAAATGTATTTTTAGTCAGAGGACCCCCCTGAAAACCACTCAATGTGATGGGAGTATCCTCTTTAAATATTATTTATTATAATTATGACGCAGTTTATTGAACTTCAGCATGCCAGGAAAAGAAAGTTTCACAGGGCGCACAACGTAACCTATGAAACTACACATCTTTGGACTTATAAAAAGGATAAAAACCGTCAAAATTATTTAAGTAGAGCGCGGGTCAACTTTTCGCAACAAATTCCTTCAACCTGTTACAAATGTTTTTGTTGCGAGACAAGTTGATCACGCAAGGTGAAAAACGAAAAACATCGACCAAAACTCGCAACGAAACAATCAGTGCGCGCCAAGTTGAGGTTTTTTGTATCTCGTATTTCGCCACCTTAAGCTAAGTAAGAACCTTAGAGGTTCTGGCGATGTTCAGACTGGCGCTGAGGACAGCTTTCAGCAACTGACGAAGGACTTCTCTCCCTCTCTTTGCACCTAACAATTCTCTAACATTCCTTCGTACATTCTTAGAGTATCCCTCTAAGTCATCTACAATTAAGTTGACTTGACGTATCTCGAGTCCAGGGTCAGTTGCTGTTTAAGCTCCCAGCGTAGAGCGGCGTACTTTTGTTATTATTATGCAGCACTTTAAAACTTTTGTATGTTATATACAATAAGAATAGTATGACGGGGTGCATGAGCGTAGCCCGTTAACTACAGTGAAATCAAAATCTATATACTGAACAAAAAAAAAATCCAAATCTAAACTAGTCATTATAAATTCTTTAAAAACCTATTACTTATTTCGGGTATGAAAGAGTTAATCAGCGACGATCACTTCCTAAGTTTCTAATAATCCACAGAATTCTAGAAGGCAAAGAGTTAAATAGTACGCGATGTTCATTGTTCATGTTACGACTTTAAATTATTATTATTATTATTATTATTATTATTATTATTATTATTATTTTAACGGCACACACGTACGCTTGAAATTCGATCTTAATATGTTAGTTATTACCGTTCATGCACTTTACACCCCGAAGTCACAGACAGCACAGTACGCTTGGGCTGGGCCGCCGCGCCTGTGTTTATACCTGACGTAACAAATTCCTGAAGGAAACATAGAATAGTTTGGCGTGCACGTTAGCTCTTCTTCAATCAGTTTTGGTCTATCTAGCTTTGTCATCTGATCTATACGAGAAAAAAAATAAGTTTTCGAAGACAAAACAAACAAACACACAAACAATCTTGAAAAATCTCTCAACTTAGGCGCTTCAAAACAGTTATTTTAAAACACCGCATGTGAGTCAAGTGTCAATTCGTATTCGGTTTTCCACGAAATTTTCTGACAAATCACCGACCATGTGCCTTCCCTCTACATAAATCAAAGGGTTATTGAATTCTGAAATTCGTGGTTTTCCTTCCACTCGATGTTAGCTGCTTCAGCAGGAAATAAAAAGCAAAAATTGATCCTCGCGGAAATATCTGTCGTCTTGAACCGCAATTAAAATAATTTGTTTAAGGAAAACATAAAAACTCGCCAATCTGCAAATTGAAGTCTCGAGAAACTTTAATCCTTGTCAACTGCAGGTCCAAATGTTGGCTAAGAATAATCAACTGGATGGTATCCGGTTAGATCGCACCATGGTTAGATCGCTCCCAGTTAGATCGCTCCATCCGAAAGTTAGATCGCCCCACTTAAAAGTTAGATCGCTCCATCAAATAAGTTACTTCGCTCCCAACACAAGTTACTTCGCTCCATGTGGTAAACTTCAGTGTTACTTACTACTGATCTTTAAAGTTTATAGAAGATGTGTCTTGTGAGCTAGGTTTTCTTTATTCTGTGTCCTAACGGTCATCTATTCACTTAACACAAAATCACACTGCACTATGAATACTGCTGTTTTAGTAATCACGGTTTTTGAAAAGTCTCACATAAGCATGTGTATTGTTAAAACTTGTGACTTTTTCTGAACAATAACAGCTAATTATTGCCATGCGCAAAAGGTGTGAAAGGTCCTGTTTAAACACAGCAGCAGACAACAGAAATACCACCAAATGACCAACAATGGCTATGATTGCTTTCAAAGAACCGACACTTTTAAACGTTTTTAAACTCAGACCCAAGCGAGACTGGGTTCGACTTCGGTCAAAAATGGCGACTAGCGACTCTTTCTTCGTGTAACTATACTCTTACTTATCCATTCATTGTCCATCTGTCTTTTATCGACTCTCTACTTTAATTTGCCACACGGAGCGAGGTAACTTATGTTGGGAGCGAAGTAACTTATTTGATGGGGCGATCTAACTTTCGAGTGGGGCGATCTAACTTTCGAATGGAGCGATCTAACTGGGAGCGATCTAACCGTAAACCAACTGGATACACGTCTGTCCTATGACGTAATGATAACCAAGTAGATTGAAAAGCACGAACTGAACAGTTTTTCAGGAAAAGAAAACTTTAAGAGAAATGTGAAGTTCATGCGATTTCGTGTGAAACGTGAGACAAAGAAAAAACAATTCGACCTCTTTACTGAGTTGTTTTTCAAGGAGGGTCCAGAACGGGCTAGAAGGCCAAATAAACTCTCCCGTAAACTGTGCATCCTTGAAGGCACTAAAGAAGTCTTAAACCGAAACAGAAAGCATGGCTTAAAGGAAGACGAAACCTTTTTAGACTCAAGAGGTCAAACACAGCCCTCAAGCACCCCTCCAACGCTATCTCCAAGCAAAACTTCCAGGGAGCGTTAGTCACTTCCGTCACATCTTGGTCACGCCACAACCTTGAAACGGAGGATGTATCACGTGACGTTTTGAACTATTGAGACGTGCTGAATCTCTCATGGTGCCAGTTGCAGCTTTCTATCTTTCGGTGCATTCTTCAAATAATCTCCATTTGCTGATCGGCAACGAAGCTAGGCACCATAGGAGCCCCTTGTAGGAGGTTCTAATGCAAGTATGTCGCTACACTCTCCAACCTTCTCTAACTCGTCTTTTGAATCTGAAGCGAACTCCGTTGTCAACAGAGTTGTTACAACTGTGTCAGCGAGTCTTTCAATTTTGGGAACTTCTCTGATCATAATCACATTCATCGCATGGAAAGACTTGAGATCGACTTCCAGAAAGATACTCGTGTTTATTTCCATTGGCGATTTCTTTATTGCTGGAGGTAATTTGTGGGGAGTATGGCTGGCTCGAAATGATCACACTACCATACCATGCAAAGCTCAGAGTTTTGTCACAACTTGTGCTTCTCTCTGGTCATTTTTTTGGACGACTTTTCTATCCATATTTATGTACACTGCTGTGGCAAGAAGGCAGGCTGAAAAAGCTGACAAGATGCTTAGATATTTCCACATTTTTGGTTGGGGTATTCCGTTAATAATAACAGGTATTGCCTTTGGAGAGAATAAGTTAGGGAACGATTATGATTTCTACAGTGCGGGCTGGTGTTGGATCAGTGGCAATTTGACGACCAGGGAGAAGCAAATATGGATGTTACTCACAGGCAAAGCGTGGGAAATGGCTGCATATGTTCTCATTTCTACATTTTTTTGGGGTTTAAAGTATCATATTCGTAAGGAGGTAATGTTGTGAGCTACTTGTACCTTTCAGACGAGACTTAGCTATGCTTTGTCACTAAGGATTTTCTTTCCTTCCTACTTCAAAGAATCCGAATTTCTGATTCAAACTGATTCTGTTTTCTTCCTATTAGACCAGAAATGTTGTCATTACTTTGGAAATGTGCAAATTGTAAATGAAATAATGAATAATGGTAAGAGGACTCAGGAGAGCCCAATTTCACATGTAATCATACTAGTGATCAACAAAATTGCACAAATGCAAAATGGGAAAGCCATTTGTTAATCACAAGTATGGTTACAGATAGAATTGGATGACACAAAGTCCTGTTACCAATTAATAATAACTATAATGACATTTGAGAAAGAAACTAAAGATCAGATATACATTTTCATAAAAAAAGAAAAGTTAACTTGATGAAATGAACTAAACAGCACACACACATGACACATACTGACCACTTACACAGGCATGCTGTGTCAACTGTCCTATCACACTGCCCGATTGAAAGCATGAGGTACACTATGTCCTATTATAGTTCACTACTAAATTTTCTCCGGTTCTTATTGGTTTAAATCGATCACGTGATGCGATAGTGTTCATCCGTGGAGAGACACTATCAGCCCATAGTGCCCGCCCGCAGAAAATACCCCGATGGATTGTGCCCGTCTGGGGAAAATACCTGGATTGGTAGTACTCATCCGTGAAAAGTTTTGATTAGTTTGACAGCCGTCAAGTTAAGCATATCGGAAAAACAGTGACTTTTCAATTCTGACAGGTATAAGGTATTATTTAGCCAATGTACGGTTGCGAATTATTGACATTTATGACAAGCTGTAGGCGCGGAAGAAAATTTAGTGGTGAACAATAAAAACAATAGAGTGTTTAGGTCTCGTAACTATCAGGCATATTTGCCCTCGAAGCTTTGCTTCTTGGGCAAATATTTGTTTTGAGAACATCAAATTTCCGCGGGGCAACTATCAGCCAATAGTTCCTCGACAGAAACACTCTATTGTTTAATTAATGCCTAAATTGGGCTGGCGATAACCAATCACATTTCAGAATTTTTTTATAGCTTTGATTAGTATAATAATAGTAATAATGATTCAAATCAAAACAATACAGAACTGTGTATATCAAAGAATATGCAACCATTGATATGGTTAATTTCATTAGACTGTTCAATTATTTAAAAATGATTGGAAATTAACTTACATGAATGGTTGAATAAGAATTTGATTATTTAAAACTGATTTACAAAATGACACTTAAGCACTAGAACTCCATTTTCAATCCACACGAAGCATATTCTCTCCCTTGTTAGACCACATTCCATATTCCTCTAGAGTTGTTAATCTGCACGGAACTCTTTAAATTCTTTACATGTAGGTCTATCATCGAAAAAAGCAGTTCACATCTCTTCAGAACAAAGAATCAGCTATTAAAGCAGAGAGAAGGCTGACAATGCTACCCATCATTTTTATTCTGGTGCGTATTTGGGGTACAATTCGCTTCATCATTTATTTGTTAGACAACCAAATCACTGCTGCAGCTTTGAAGTCAGATTGGGAAAAAGCTCTTCTTTATCTTCAGGTTTGTTTTTGAGTATACTACGGTCAAAATAAAGCAGCTGGTTAACCAGTTGCTTCACAAAACATGCCAGATTTTAGTTAAGGGGTTTTAAAGATGGGAGTCAGGTGATAGTTCTGTTGATTTTCTCAAGATGTTGTTATGTTTATTCAATTGCAAATCTTTTTCAAGCAATGTTCCAATGATCAAGAAACAATTGTCGAATGAGAACTTTTTTAGAACTGTGCTGTGGTGTACTCTATGGGCGAATATTACCAGAAGATAAAAGTGCAACAATCTCAGCTGTGCCTTTATAAACCAACCAACCCAGCAGACCATACTACAGTCTGCTGGGGTCGGTAATGCAAGACTGAATGACCTCAT